CTGTTACGAAATACATAGCAAAATAATATTAACGGTGTCAGCGAGAAGATTTCAGATAAATTGTTGATTCAAGCCTTGATTCATAGTACTTTGATGTGCTTTGATACGTGTATTTATGCGAAACTATATTCAGAATCCTGTTTCAAACGAAGAACGGGGCTCGTTCATTCCGCAGAACGCTAAATTTATGCTTCTCATGGCAGTATTTCAGTGAACGATCGCTGATTTTCTCCAAAGAGACGCGAGATATCGAGATTGAATCGTTGCCAGTGTTCTCTTGCGCGCGAAATTTATAGCGCAGTTGAACTTGTTTTGGAAGTTCGCGCGATATTTTTCGCATCGAAGTACGAAAGTCATTGATACAATGAACTCTGAACACTTTATGTTTCGCTTTTCTTTAACCACTTGCGCTGGCAACTGATTGCGGACCATAACGAGTGACCGAACCGTATGCAATAATTCGTCGCTTACTTTTCGAACTCGTCGGTATGATATCACTGGATAGAAATTATCGAGAGGCAATTTATTATTTGTTTTGCCTGGGTTATACTTAAATATACTTAGAAATATTTATATACTTATACTTAAATTAAATAAATATATTATATTTTATTAAATTATTACTATTATATTATGATAATTATAATAATATATAATAATTTATATATATATAAATTATTATTGTTATAATATATAATAATTATTATTGTAATAATATATAATAATTATATATATATAAATTATTATTGTTATATTATACTTAAATAAACTGAGAAAATATTACAATTTTGGGACAAAGAAACTCTCGACGCAATTCCAGCGCAAGAGGTTAAACAAACGTTTGCTATATTTATACTTGACTATAATATTCTCGTTTACAAATATTTTATATATGTATCGTATAAACATACGATAATAACACGAAAAAAAAGTACAATACAAGACGAATTGTACTGTCTTTCATCGCTTGGGGAACATTTTTTGTTCGAGCATGTTGTACCAGTCCTTGTAGAATAAGCAACTGTTGCCATACAATACTAGTGTTGCAGTTAGACGTTAGCGAAAACTGTTAGTCGACATTGTATTATCGTATAAGGGTCATTACATTTCATTAGGAACAATATTAGTGAATATCAGCGAAGTGTAAAATGAAAATTGTACAACTGATTTGTCCAACGTTTACGTGATGTGGTAAACAGGACAGAAAATAAGCACACGTGAGTTATTATCTATCATTAGGTTAAGTATTGCTTAACTGGTATATCATTAGGTCATTTAGAGTTGAATTAATAATAATAAACAAATGATAAATTAATGGATAATAATTTACTGCGAAATTATTAAATTCTGGAGCATTTAATCTAATTTTAAAGTTAGCCTATATGAAATGTAAAATAAAATTAAATATCTTAAATACTATTTTAAGAAATTTTAAGAAATTCACTATTATCTTATTATTTTATCAATATTATGTTTTATGAAAAATGATCATTAACTTTACACATTTCTATTTCTATTTTCATAATCGTAGCAAGTACTTGAAGCTTCAATGTTATTTTATTATTTTTTTATACAGCGTAATGTTTTATGAAAGATGATCATTAATCGTACATATCTTCTATCGTCATAGCTGTCGAAGTTTTTTTCTATTTTATTATTAAAAATGCTTCCTGTTGACACGCGTGTTATGTTGACTGTTGCTTGCTTGGTGCGATTTGTATGTGTGACGGATCGAGTGGCAAATTCCGTTCTGCTTTTATAATGGTAAATTCCACTCTAGTGGAAGTTGATATCTCGACGAAGCTGGCAAGCTCGAATACTCAATCTTGATATGAGTAATATAGAAAATGCATTTTATTTATGTCGTGCTTTATAAAAGATACAGTACAAACGTTATTCTTGTTTATCGTGCCAATTTAACAGTATATTAAATTTGGAGCTTCATTATAATTACAATCAGAATATATTTTAATCACATTGGTGTATATAATAATTGTACACGCGTAGACTTTCGTGAAATCTCAATTTATATATTGAAACTTTTTTCTCATCATCTTCGTTACAAACAAATTATGCATTTATAAGGACAAAGACAGAAATAATTTGTCTTCGTTAATCGTTAATTACGGAAGCCTTTGGTTAATAACAAATGCAAGAGATACTGCTAGTATTATAAAATTAATTAAATCCTATGAAACGTTCGAAACGCTTCTCTCTCTATTTTGAATATTTGAAATTCGAAATTCCAGTCTGATTTTAACGAATTAATTGAGATTAATATCGATGGAACGTTCAGGACACTCGTTCCTCTCGTTCGAATGTTCGAAATTTCGCTGATGCACGATAGGCTTTTGCGTAGACTGTATTTTACATCCAACAACTCGCGTATTAACAAAACAAGACGTAAGCAAAAATTTGCAAATTGCGGCTGCGTAAATGTCGATTATGTAAACAAGAATCAAATTGCGTAGCGTTGTAAATCATATGACTTAAAAAAAAAAAAGTACAGTGAAAGATGAACGCAGTTATGCGAGGAATCTCACACTTTGCTGATACCGAAAACATGCTGAGAAACGTGTAACTTCATCGTGATTGCATGTGTATGTGTGTTTTTGATGATATAAATATAGAACAGATAAATTACACATCTTTCAATGTTTTCTTTTTAAGAAAAATAATTAACTTAGATCGTCAATGCTATGAAAACATAAATATTAAATGCAACATGTCCACTTATAAAATAGAGCACTTGTTATAATATTTAGCAACAATTTCTCCTTTTAATTATATTTTCGAAAAAGAATTATTTAATTAAATTTTCGCAAAAGTTTGCAATCTAGTGGAACAAAAATAAAATTAATGAGTGAGTTAAAATGCATGATGCATTAATCTGTTTTTTTTTTTTTTTATAGTTTTTCTCTTATCTCTGTCGAAATAACCAATTCATTTCTAGAGATTTTAATGATATTTCGTGAAGTATATAAACATACAGTTCGTGTTCTTTATTCTATTATATATCTGATTTATACTTTTAGTCATCGTTAGTTTTAACGTTGAATGTTACAAATATTTACACGTAATAAATATATTAAAATATAAATAAATATGTTAATGTTACAAATTTTTACTTGTAATAAATATAAATAAATGTATATATATAAATAAATATATAAATATAAATATAAATATAAATAAATATATAAATATAAATATATAAATATAAATATAAATATAAATATAAATATAAATATAAATATAAATAAATATATTAAATATATAATATAGTATTAAAATGTAAATATTTTTATTTGTGTTCGAGTTCAATGAACTCGGGTAAGCTAGAAGCCTCTGACGTCTTAGGAAACCTACGAGTTTCGAAGCAACCGGTCGTTTTATACAGTTGTCTATGAAAGTTCCCGTCACAAAGGTGTTAAAACGGCTCGTCTCAAGGCTTATAGGAGGTGTTTTGAAAATTCCTATCGTCTTTATTTATTGTTTATATTTCTGTGTAAGTGAAAAACTGCAGCGATAAGAAATCCGAGAATGCTTTTCTTTTTTCTTTTTTTTTTATAGCCTATTTATATCTGCAACAAATGGTAACGATTAGATAGAACGACACTTTACGCGAAATGGTTGCAGTTACAAAGGTTTCAGCGACGTAGTTGATTTATAACTTTTTAAATCGATAGCATTTTCAAGTGTTTCACTCTTCGATAAGTAAGAAATTTCTAAATTCCTTTAGATTGTTCTGGTGAACAATGGCAATCTCTCAAAGTTTTAACCATTTGAATTGAACGACGCCATGTTGGAATGTATATGTATCAACAATCGTTGGTTTTTTGTCAAATTTATTATAAAAACTGATGAGAGTGTTAAAGTATTATGGAAGAATGTTTTTTCACAAATTTTAATACCCGGTTTATCTTTTGTTTTTATTTAACTCTTATGTAATTTTTTAATTTATTGGATGGACTACGTATTCATTTCTAATTATATTTTTTACACAAGTGCATTTTACAATAATGTTTTGTACTGCACTATTTTTCATCTGTTATTCGTGATTTCATTTTCTGGAGAAGAAAAATGAAATCTTTTCACTTAAAGATTACGTTTTCGAGATAATCAAAGTTTCAAGATTCAGCAATTAAATTCCAGATAAATTACCAAAACAATTGTTAGGATAAAAATCAGGAATAAATTGTGGAGTTAAAAATCAGAATCATTAAATTGTAGAATTAAAAAGTATATAACAATACAAACAACTTTTTCATAGGACTGTATGACTACTAAATCAATTATTAATTAAATGTGATCAAAATTTGCTTTTTGGAACATGAGAATATTATTCTTCTTTCTCGATTAATTATGGCACATAAAATATGTTTATAAAATGCTTATAAAATATGTTTTATTTATTGTCACAGTACAATTGGGTCCATAACATTTATTTACGCACAAACATATTATTAATTTCGAATCAAGACCTAAATAGTATAACAAAATCAAACGAGAAAATTTCACCGGTGTTCGATTAATTATATAATATTATATTATTATATAATTATAATATTATATATTATATAATATATGTAATATACATACAATATAATTATAATATTTATAATATAATTATAATTAGATAATATTATATTATATAATTATATAATAATTTAATTTTTTGCTCTTGGACTTGCGAATCATGATATTTGAAAACTCCAATTGCGCGTAATATCGCACACAGATGAAAAAAAAGTGATGATCTCGCAAGAACCGTAATCCACCAGAACCACGATGGCTTAAGCCATCAATTAATCTTTATAACGGATCGTAAATTACTACACTAAACGAGATTTATCGCTCTAGAATCGAACCATTCCATCGTATAGAAATGACTCAACCGACCTGCCTCGAAACTCATAAATAAAGTCGGTGTTTTTTCTCCATTATGCGCGTTGAATCATGCAGCTGTAGCTCACGGGGGATCATTTGATTTTGTGCAGCTGGAGGCCTGATGGCGGGTTCCGTGGCGACGTTGGCGATTCTCTGGGTCTCTCTGCAAACCATGGGATTCCTTGGGACTTCGCACACCATCGGCGCCTATAAATTGCCCATGTCTCTGCAGAATTATCTCGCCAGTTACACGGGTAAGTCGTCCATTGCTTTTTCTTGTTTTTGTTTTCTTTTTTCCTTTTTTTTTTTTTTTTTTTTTTTTTTTTTTTTNTTTTTTTTGTTTTCTCTCGTCGTCGAAGAAAATTTTGATCGCTCGATCGAGTAGCCTTCGATGACAAATTCCATTCTGGATTATCATTGTCAATGACGGGGTTGAACCTTAACCTTTTGCGGTACTACATACACGTTCAGTGCGATTCGGGAGATTAATTTTATTTCAATGAATTTTCTGTTCAGAAAAGAGACTACGTTTGATAATTGGTAGTTTTGTTAATTGTAGCAGCATCTCTTGTATTTTTTACACAGTGTATACACCCCTGTTCTCTAATATTCAGTATTTATGTGAAGAATCGAATTCTTAATGCATGCATTGAAAAATATAGCTGTTGGCGTGCTTTATAGATCCTTCCTTGCATAAGAAACGAGTTGTTTAATTCTCTCAGTTTTGGGAAAAATGCAGCGTTTTTTGTGATGATTCTGGGGTGTATATTTATGGCGGTTCATAAAAATATTCGTACACTCGTCGACATGACTTTTATACGCGAACGAGTTATATTTTCACATTTTGAAGTTTCATCATGTTACACACTGTTATGATTATATTAATGAAATTTTAAACGATTCTGAGAACGTATATTTATTTATGATTAAAATAAGGATATATTTCGCAGAGGTCACAAGTCTTTAAATAATCATCATTACATTAACAAGTACTAACATTCACTAATTTCTATACATATTGTCGAACTAGATTCAAATTAGGTTTTTTTTTAAATTAAATTTTAGAACGTTTTATATAATATCTACGATACACACATAAAATATAAGTGTACGAATATTTTTACAAGCTACTGTAAAGTGCTACAAGTGCACACTGAATATTTCCCTGCATTATAGAGATAAATTATTTTATATGTATCAGTCTCATCACTTTTTATTAATTCAAAGAAATTTTGTTTTTATAAACATATTCAGTATAAAATTTACTATGCTTGTCTTAATTCATGCTTTGACAATTGTTGTGGACCGCAAAGGGTTAATCTACGTTACAAATGAAATTGTTCTAAATATACTTGAAGATTGGTGCCATTGTGAATTGCATTTTTGAAACAATTGTATTTAATAATTTTGCAGCTGTTATTGATTGAAAAACTGTTGAATTTCTAAGTGAAATTATGCTTAACATATTTAGTCACTCAATAACTTAATAATTATTTAGTGTAATAATAATTCAATCCAGCATCTATTTAATATTTGAGTATTTTTATCATTGTTTTTAACTTTTCTTATATCAAACTACTCTACTTGTGACTTTTTTCAAATATGTATCTACAAAGTTACTTATTTTAGTCAATTATCAAGCAGTTGCAACATTTTTGTTTGATATTACTGAACTTTGTTTTTAAAATGGATTTATGAACGTTATAATGATTCTATTTCTAAAGAAATATATGAATAATAAACACTTGAGAATTCGAGAATCTGTTAATTACACATTTGTCTTACACTGTTATTAAAACTCGAGAAATAATTATGTGAGTTTACAGTTTATATATACACGCCAGATAACAACTGGAACTAATATAACTTTTATTGAGAAGAATTTTTTTAAATATTTTTCTACTTTGTAATTTTCTACAATTAGAAAAAGGAGATACATGACCATGCCACGCATAAGCTAGCACATAATCTCTAATGATTACGTAGTTTTATTTTGAATAAAATTTCTATAAAGAGAAAAGAAAATATACAGTAGAGCCTTTCTTATTCAAACCTCGATTATTCGAATATCTCAATATCCGAACATTATATTATCAGAGTAAAATGTAATTAGTATACTGGTAGTTGGAAAATCATCCGTTATTAGTAGACATTTTATTCAAGTAATATAATGTTCGAATATTAACTTTCACTTTTCTGGTGAGACGTTCCAGGCAACAGTTTTATTCTCATCTTTTACAATCCCTGAAACAATAGCGTGTTCGTTGCATAAGAAATAGTTTTTGTATTTTATATTTTATTCATATTCATAAGAAATATTTTTTTAATTTTGTATTTTATATTTTATCAGAACTATGATCAGCAGATACAAATTTATTATTTATTTTTTAGAATATAATTTTTTCTTTGTTCCACGACTTTCTTTTCCTAGATATAATTTGTTACATCGTATCAGAGATGCAAAGCATAATTTGACAATACTTTTCTAAAATTTAGATTTCATTTAGAAATTTAAAAATTTTTAAAATTTAGATTTCATAGCACTGCAACTTGTTCTTTCTCTCAAATTGAAACCACAATAAAAAAAAAAAAATAATAAAACTTTGATGTGTAACCTATAATTGGCTATTTAATAAATTTTTTCTTATTATGTGTATTTTTGTGCAATTTAAGATTTTCTACACGCGTATGCACAAACATCTACAGTTATAATTATTATTATAAATCTCAAGGATATATGATAATAATAATCGTATCGTATTTGACGAGTATTGTCATTTTATAAGATATTTTTATTCATTTACACTGTTAGTATTGCGCTTAAAATTTTTTTAATAAAATAAATTTGGGTAATAATTGTAGATTAATGCCGACAGAGATTTCCTGTATGCACGAAAAGTTAACGTAGTATCTGTCCAAAAGAAGTGTGCCGAAATATGAAATTAGGCACGCAGCGAACGTAATTATTGAAAACTTTTGCCTCGGTCTTTCGCGTCGTCCACCGTGAAAATTCATCATCAAGAGGTTCGGATAAAGCTCTACTGTTACAAAAGACAGTTTAACAAAGAGATAACTCGTTGATAAATAGAGTTACGACCCAATCGTCAGAACTTCGCGACACAATCAAATCTGAACTGACTGAACCGTTTTCACCGACGTTTTTAAAGGTATCCTTTCAGGTTTGCCGATGTCGAACTACCCTTACGAGGGCGGCGTCGTAGACACGGGTCGTTTCCATAATCGACGTTACCCTCACATTGACGAGGCGGTCTTGAACAACTCGATCAGTTTCGCGCAAAGCTTGGTCGATCGTATGAGCACCCTCGAAAGGAATATCGCGAACGCTGGCGTCGAATTGATGGCTCACACGCCGGCTGGAAAGCAATTCCTTGATTCATATCCTTCCGAGGATGCTTTCGAGAGAGGCCTCGACGCCATTGTGGCGATGAAAGCTTCGTCCTATCTCCTTCATCAGAGCTGTCGCAGGTAACATACCAACCACTTAGGTCAACAACAACTCTCCTTTCCGATTGAACTTGTTACAACATCTACCAGGATGCTTCCTTACTGGTGAAAGTCCTCTTACGAATGAATTTCAGCGTTTAAAAGTTTCGTTTTTTTTTTCTTTCTTTCTTTCTTTTTTCAATAAACCGTGTGTCGTAAAAGTTGCTCTTTTTTCTTTTTTCTTTCTTTTTTTTAATCTTTGGTTTTATCGGCAATGTATCTTGTGTCAGTTTGGAAGTTAAGGTCGACCACTTGATTTCGTGGACTTTCTCGTGGCGAGGTCGAAAGTCGAGTTGAAGGCTTCGATTATTGATCGATATTGAAGTATTTTACTACGTTCGTTGTTGAGATGAAAATTTTTTAATAGATTTTTAATATAACCTGGATGAGAGAAATTTTACACACTCGTTCATCGATCCATGTACGAAATTTTTGGTTTGTAATAACGTTTGTAGAAATGTACATATGTACTTTATGTAGATTTATCTGAAATGGCACCAAGTTTTAATTAACAACGATGTGTCATGATTGATTATAAATATTATTTATAATATAACAGTATTTTTAATATTAAATCGTTTGTTAGTTAATATCAGGATTGGGCAAATTTTATTTGAAATAAAGACTTGAAATGCAATGAATCGTTTCTCGCTAATAAATAATAGAATATAAAATAAAATGATACAATTATTTTAGAAATAATTTTATTCAATATTAACTTGTGTCCAGATCAAATGAATTGCTTGCAAATAATCGTTCATTCGGATTAACTCGTTGAAATAAAACAACGAAGAATTTGACGATTTCTTTTTATGCAACACAGTTTTATAATAAATTTTTTACATTGATGCAAAGCTGTTACCACGTTCATTTTATTTCTCAACAGTCCCAGTGAGGATTTAAATTTAACAATCTGAATGAGGAAAATGATAAAAAAACACGAAGAAAATGAAAAAAGAGCTTCTTCGAAGATTTTTCGCTAACAAACGTAATTTCACTTGACAATTATCATATCAAATTTTGAGTATTGTCAGATCAAAGAGTGTTGATTATTTTGTTGTCGAGTGATTATCTTTCTAGAATATTTTACTGTTAATGAAATTTCATCAAATACATTGTTTTCTGTTTTAATTGAAGATTAACTTCATTAATCCTCAGATTAATCTCTATGTAACTAATGTAGCGTGAAAATACTTGTAATAAATCGGGGGACGAGTGTGTATTCTATAAATGTGCGAAAAAAGAATGTTTCCATGTGGTTGATAACGATAATTATTTTTACAAATCTGCCTTCAGTCATTGTTTCTCCGTTGCTTGTTACTTTTGAACGCTGAGTCTTTCATTTAAAGTGGACTTCGTTTGTAAAGAATCACCATCATATCTTATTATATTATCTGGGAAAGAAGGATGGAATTGTGCAAAAGGAAGATTCTTTTCCACGAAGAAAGACGGTTTCGCATTGTTTGAACACTTGGTATATACATAATATACATGATAACACTTGGTATATACACGTGGTTTGATCATTGAATTTTATTTGCACGGCGTTTGTTTGCATTTCACTCGATTGAATACATAGTCATTATCCGTGATACGAAGTAGAGATAACGTTTTATATATATTTATATAAAACGGTCTGAGATCGAGATAAATCCGATTATCGAGATAGCAAGGAAATTTCTTTTCAACCACGGTGTGCTTTCTCAGTTTCATCTTTTATCTTCGGATCATAGTACGATCAAATATTGTTGCTGCAATATTATAATTGTATTATTATCGAAGCGGTGCAATACCAAGTGAGAAAAAGCAAAGAGAAAAGAGAACAGAAGAAACTTGAAATTCTCACTCGGTTTTTTTTTTTTTACAAAAACCGAGGAATTCACGTTTAAATGTTTCACTTGTTAAAATTTTTCCATTAGAATAACTACTGATTATGATTGAACTTTTCAACAACGTCTTCCGACCAAGTTCTTGTTACACGTTCAAATGTTCAAGTATCAACGGGATCTTGCTTCGCTCGAGAATGCTCTGTTCGCAGCATCGAATTAACGAACATTGCCTTTTTGCACAATGAACGACTCGTTGGAGAACTCGTTTGCCATTGAACACGTTCAGAAGATGATTTTAAACGAAGAGAATAATGGATTCACATGTTACAACTAGACTCCGGATTTTTATGCGTATGTGCGAAATTTAAATGGACCAAGAAATGTAACGTGAAAGGTTATAGTTCTTTATACACAAAATAAATTTCGATTTAAATTCTATTTTTTTTTTTTTTTTTTTTTTGTTTCTCGATTAAGTTCGTAAAATATATGAAATCGCATAACCATCTGGAATCTAGTCTTAACACTTATTGCTAGGAATGTTACGTTGGTGGTAAGTAAACGTGTTTTTGATTTATAGCGATAGTTACTAAATTTAGGCAATGTTTTGAAACCATCTTCTCAACTACAATAGCAACGTATTCTTCATCTTTAAAAGAGAATTGGACTATAACTGCAAATACGTTTCGATTTAAACGAATCAGCAAAACTTTCTTCTTCAGTCTCTCGATGTTTTCTACGGACTTTTAATTGTCGCTAAGTGAAATTCACGTACGAACAGTGATGTTCGTATGATGAACGCTAGCGTGAATATCGATTTGAAAAATGTACGAAGAAAAATGTTTTCAATGCAGAAAGTAAGACAGAGTCAGTCTTAAAAGTATAATTCAAGAGAGATGTAAAAAATGGAAGTTACTGACGAAAATTCACATTTTATTTTTCACCTTGCAAAGAGAATTTTTTGAACATCACGATGAATCTGTAGTTTGTTTCGAACGTTACATTCACGGGAGAAAAATCATGGGAAAATCAAAAGGGAAGTTATATAAGTTTTCCAGCCCTTTTTACGATTAATATTGAAAATTAGAAAATTGCTACATACACTTCAACAATTGATTAAGAAACACGATGAAGATCAAAACTTATTCTCTTCGAGTGAATCCAATTCTTGAATAAAGAGCGATTTTTAATGTAATTACATATATCCAACCCTTTGCGACTCGAATTTGCATTTGACATTTTATTTTGGCAGCGTAATTGAAAAGAGTATGTTCTTGTACGTCGAGTTTAAGAAGAAAAGTCAAGTAAATGGAATAAAATATGCAGTTTAACCTGAAGCGAGATCGTAAAGGATCGATGTAATTACATAACTTTATAAATTAATTAAAGTCGTAAGAATTTGTCTGAATATTACCACAGCATACTTCTGAATACGCAGAAGTATACCTTCAATAGGATATTTTAATTCATTTTATTATTAGACTGCGGATGTTTATGCATTTGTACGATATATAAAAGTACGAAAATTTGCATATTTGTTAAATATTATATTTATATGTATAGTAAATAATATCTATATGATAACGTGATAATACAATACTATGATGTGTTTCATATTATACGAGTTTAAATATTAATTTTAATTATAGAAAAGTAGCAACTCATACAAACACTCTTTTATTATAAATATGTTTTATTACAAAATATACACACATACACGGGAAATGTGCTTATAGAATCTGTGTATAAGAATACAATAATGTATAACATTTTCACATGTTGTAATGTCAGATCGTTGACGTTTGTTGGTTAAACCAGTTTATTTGAAAGAAAGATTAAAAAAAAAAATAATAATAATAACAGTTTGAAATAGCGAGTCATTCTCACTAATCTGTTACTTTTATTTTCGAAATAACATTGGGAAAATTAGCTCTAGTCAAATAAATCTTTTATTCGAATTACGTTATCATCAAAAGTGCAGCGAAGGATGAAGTTTCTGACACAACATTGTCAGAGGCACGCATTTGAAAAGTTATTTGCAAAAACAAATACAAAGAACACAAGAAGACAAAACTGAATGAAATAATCACAAGATAAAGTAACATAACAAAATAAACTGGTTCATTATAAATAAAAGAAAACAGCTTGTTTTGATAGCCAATAATTTTTAGCAAAATCATTTGCACATGTTGAAATAAAGTAACGCAGGATTATCATTCAAATATTCGCGTGAATATCGATCAAGTTAATTTTACATTTACTCCAATCTCCGGACAATCGACAATTTTCTACGTCGCTAAACACGAAACATACTTTCGCATAAATATCCGCAGTCTGCTCCACAAAAAAAAAAAAAAAAAAAAAAAAAAAAAAAAAGAATTGCGTCTGAAAAATCGACATCCTTCCGGGATATATAATAATATCCCTTCACGGTGTATTCTACAAACTCTGAGATAATAATTGTCTCTCCCTGGATTAATATAATAGCATGTTGTCGACGTAAATAGACAAGTACGCGTGAATAACGGGCGTTCCGGTTCGTCCACTAATTATATTGACAAGAAACGACCAACGTCTGTTGCAGATTCGGCTTGGAGAAAGACGACTGCGCCCGTTACATATCGACGTTGTCGCTGCAGGGTACACCGTTGGACTCGGCTTGTCCAGGATCGCGGCACGCCGCCATCTGCAACCCGATGGCCAAGTATCGAAGCTTCGACGGCTCGTGCAACAACGTGGAAAATCCAAGCTGGGGTAGTGCGATGACCGCGTACACCAGAATTCTCTTCCCCCAATATTTCGACGGTAAGGGTGTTTCCTAACCCGCGTGTCCATCATCCATCGAAAATTCCAAAAGAAACAAATGATGAGGCGCTTGTCAGCCATGTTTCATTACGTCGTTTTCCAACAACAAACGTGACGCGCTCGTTTTCGAATTTTCGTACGATCTCTGGGATCCGTTGGGATGTGGTGATCGATTCGTTGATCGCGTTTACGCTCTCTCTTTCTCTCTCTCTCTCTCTCAATCTTGTTCTTCAGCGCGTTGGGCTCGCGGACTTCCGGTTTGTCGGCGCGAACCGCCCGCGGACGCGTTTCGTTCTCTCGTTGTGTGTCTAATCATCCGAAATAACAGTTCGAGACAAACCGGTATTTCACGAACGGTGTTCCGTGTTATTTGTGTGGAATAATAATGGTAACAATTATTTGCAGCCTCTGAACGCTTGGCGCTTCCTTGCTCTCCCGTCCCCCATCGTCCTCAGTTTCCTCTGCCTCGTCTGTTTCGATAGTCTCTGCGAAGAAGAATGGCTTCTAGGGGTGCGAGAATCCGAAAATATCGAGAATCTGCTTTGGAACTGGGTCGGAACTCCAGAGAAAGTAGCTTGAAAATATTTAGGGATTCTGACACTGGATTCTTTTATCCTTTGTAATTTCACTGTTCCATTGTTTCGACTATATATAAATTAAATTTATTTAAAAAAAAGCTAGATATTAATAAATACGACAAACATTTAATTTTTAAATATATATTTATTTTTTATTTTACAAAAAAATAATATATATATATATTTAAATAATAATAATATTGTCGCATTTATTAATATCTAGCTTTTTTTAAAATAAATAAAATTTTATATATATATATATATATATTTAGATCATTTACTTTCGAGACAAATAAAATTAATTAATTAACCCCGATACAAAAGGTACAAAATAAATTTTGCTTGTTTATTTTTTAAAAAATTCATTTTCATTACTTTAAACTAGTAATAATATTATTAATTTTTAATTATTACTAAAGTACAGATGTTGCGAACGAATTGCTTCGACTGTGATTTGAACTCGCGCTCCGAGTCTGTCTATTCTTTCAAGACAGAGATTTTACAAGGTCTCGTAACTGTTGTTCAACTTTGAGTTTCATTTTCTTTCTTTTTTTTTGCGTATATGTTTCTTCATATTGTACAATATGAGTATAGAATGAAGTGAACGTGTGGCCTCGATGCCTAAAATTCAGAATGTTAGTCGCTTGATTCTAAAAATTATTGACTACAAGAAAAAAGATAAAACTTATTACGTGATTAACCAAGAAAGTTTAAGAGGTGTATTATTTTAAATTTAACATATTCACGTGTACAAAAATATATTTTTTTGTGAATGATCGTTTCTCATTTTATTCATTTTTATGTGATATTTCCATAATTTACATAGATTCTTTTTCGTACAATTAATTAATAATAGATAATGAAAATTTAAAAAAGTGCTTAAAATTCTCGAAAATCCTGATATTTTCGAATCTTTGGGGCCCACTTCTGATCTAATCTCTTTCTTTCACTAAACTGAACAAAACACCAAATCTCCGATATTTTCGGATTCTCAAACATTCTCAATTTTCTCTCGTTTCGGTAGATTCTTCTTCTTCTTCTTCCTTTCTTGTTTGGTGTGATCGTTGAAACGGCCGACGATCCAAGGATCAAAGGATGTTTTCGAATTACTGTTCCTTTAGGCTCACTCTTGAGAAAGTATGTTCTGCATGAATGCGATCTAATTGCAAATGCTGGTTGTTACAAACTGGACACGCATCTTGCGATGTGGGATGTATCGGTTCCTGTGAACATGTTGCTTAGTTGATGATATTTGTGAGTGTTGAGGGATGACGAGACTGTGAATTTTGGCTGGAACACTGAAACTTGTACAGGGTCTCCTAGAGATGTTTCAATTAATACACATTTTTGCGATACGCTATCATTCTTTCTTTTTAACGTATACATCCAATATCTGAACTTTTTGGACGAGAAATGAAACGATTAAGAAATAGAATAATTAATGGCAAGTTAATGAAATTTTTCTGATATTAAATTTCGTGTGTCATGAAAGAAATTAATAAAATACAATATAAAAACATGGAATGTAGAATGTCAATACATGTCGGTATTGCTATTGCAAATATTGCACAATTGAGTGGAAAGAAAAGGATAAATCTAGAATCTTAACATGAATGTTCTCGATGAGACTCTGATATGAGACAAGAAGTGAGAAATCCTTGAAATAAATTTGCATCAAAATTCAGTAGATTCTGTATCTAATAGAAGTCGAGAATTACGGATTAGATTTAGAATTAAATAGACATTAAAAGAGTTAAGCGCTGGATATTGAAATACATCAAAATTTATATCTGTCGAATTTTTTTAGAATACTCAATACATAGGATAAAACAAATATTTATTTATTTTTATTCCACGTGTACTTCGCCACGTTTACATAAAACAATCCAAGGCTACTAGCTCCTATACTTGCACGCGAGTAATGAATTTTACATCGATAACTCTGGGATACCTTGTACTGCGTCACACTGGTACTCGCATGATAATCCTCACCCGGTGAATCAAAAATTTCTCCAAACATATCACAAGACCCTCAAACAGGTTTCTCGCACAACTCGACGAATTTAGATTAGCTACGACTCACCGAAACCAACAAACTGTCATCGTCCTCTCTCATATTCTTCTTGTCACTCTTCGTTCGTCGGCCGTGGAATGTTCGAGCAAAACTTTTCGAGAGTTTCGAGCGAAACTATTTTTGGAAAAACTGCCTCTTGCGATAGGAGAAGTGCCAGTTTGCTCGTGTTTTCCTGCTCACGGCTCGAGATCGTTGCAGTCTGCGTGATGGTGCACGCGAGTTACCAACCTCGACCTACTAACCTACCTTGGTTCCTCACAAACGACCACACACACCTTGCAATATCGTACACGATCTCACATACACGAATCACACGAGAATCATCATACACACGCATGCACACGTTCATCACACAGAGAGACAGACTAATTGCATCTTATCTGTGTATACAAAGTGTGTATCGGTTCTCGCGATACAATCGTGAAACGGGATGATTCTACGTGTGAAAATAAGTCAGAAGGAAGCAGTGACATTTTTGTCTCTTGCCTTTCGTTTGAGACTTCGTTTTCGAGAAGATGGGAATTTGGAAATTCGACGAAATGGTCGAATTTGAAGTTGTATAGTGTTTGAATCGAACGAATTTATGACGGCTCAAGTGAGAAATTTACGATTTTTATAATATTTTAACTTGCTGAGAAGTTTTTTCACATTTTTCTCAAAGTTGAGATATTTCTTAGATTTTTCCTTTAGTTTGAAAAATACCAGTGGATTGGAAATGATCGTTAGAAAGGAGCAGAATTAATTTCGCATTCAGACAGAAGAATATTCTACGTATAAAATTGAATGAAGACTGTAGAATAAAATTTTCTAAGAAAATTGGCTTTAAATGTATTTTGTTAAATCTTCGAGTAGTTTATATTTATTAAAATATATTTATTATAAATATTATATTTATATATTTATATTATATTATGTTTATAAATATATTTATATATTTGTATTATGTTATATTTATAAATATATTTATATATTTGTATTATATTATATTTATAAATACATTTATATACTTGTATTATATTATATTTATAAATATATTTATATATTTGTATTATATTATATTTTTAAATATATTTATATATTTGTATTATATTATATTTATAAATATATTTATATATTTATTAAAATATATATTTTATATTTATTAAAATACTGTACGGATAATCTGTGATGCTGAAAGACAATTGATATATTTATTGAAGGTTTAGAAAGAACAGGAGAATATATTTAAAGATATGAATGCTTTCTAAAATGATCACCTTCAATTTAATTCCCTTGGAAACAAAATATCTTGTTCTATTAATTTTTTAATACTCTACTAATAATAGTACTCTGCAAATTAATTCTATAGAGTAATAATATTACTTTATTTTCACATATAGAATAGATTGTATAATTCTGTCGATCATTTACTTCTGTACAATTCAAAATCAGCCTAATTGAAACACACTTGATAAATTTTCAAATTTCTCACCGAAACAAAGCGTCGTATGTCATACAATTTTGTCCTGTATTTTCGACTTATGTTCCTTTCACGTGGCATCACCTCTTTCTCTGCTGTATCGTGAAACTCAAAACACTCTGTATATAAATATATGTGTGTGCGTGTGTGCATGTAATACGAACGAATAAAACGAACACACTCTCTGATCCCTGGGCGCTAATGGACGAAAGGAAAAAAAAAAAAAAACCAGAAGAAAAAAAGAAAACGTTCGTCGATTGGCTTAACAAATTATATTCTGTGATTTGCATTACAGTTGTTGTGCGATAAGGCACATAGAGCATAAAATGCCTGAGTGTAGCAGTGAATAATACTGCCTACAATAGGGTGACCCGGTCGGGAGATTCTATCCAGCAGTAGAATGTGTATGTAAACTAATTCGGATATACCTAATAATGTATCATATTTATTATTGTAACACTAGTTCAAATATTTTTCTGTTGATTGCGGTATACGGGTCTCGTTAAAGGTGTCCGAGACAAGCGAATGGAGAATTGGGAGCCGTTCGCGCGGTTCTAGGATTTTCCAACAGTGTCAAACTTATTTTAAATGTATCTCTCTTTCTTTTCTTTTCTTTTTTTTGAAGATTTTGATGAAAGATGTAGAAATACGAACACGATTTATTACATAATCACAGGGTATCTAGGGTTCAAACTTTGCCAGTGTGTTTTATTATTTACAAAAATAAGAGTGGGAAATGTCGCGTAGAAAAATGTTCAAAAATGTTTTGTTAAAAGGTTATGATAAAAATTTTGTGTATAATAAAGAAAAATGCGTGTACGATCAATTTTGGATCGTCAGATGATGATTGTTGAACTGATCAATTTTCTGGCTTTCTACGTCACCAAATCTTGCACTTTTAGATTCTTACTTGTTGGAAAATATCCTCTATATTTGACTGCAATAAATTTTTAATATAGAAGCATTTACACGAATTGAATTGAATATTTACAAGAATTGAAGCTGCGTACGAAGAAGTTGAACATTTCAATTTTGAGTTGAGAATGATATTTAAGAAATTCACACATAAGTACATAAGTTTACAACTACATGAGTCGCATACATACACAAGTATACGTTATGTATGTATGTACGTTTTATATTTTTATCTTCTGGCCTTCTGTATTTCGTGACAAAATGATTCGTGTTTCTTAAAAGCAATAATATCTGATCTTACACTTTTAGATTTTTATTTATTGCATGATTTTGTATAATATGTATTTTTATTTTTATTGTGTATTTATATAAAATTATTTTCCTAAAGTTACAAGGATTTAGCTCAGAAACAGAGAGAAAGACTTTACACATTCAAAATTCTCTGTGTTTAAGGAAAAATATTCTTCGTTCTTGAAAATGTAAGAAACGAATAACAAATGATTGCCAGAAAAATTCAGTCTATAGTATATGTCGATAGAAATTTTGAATTAGAATAATACGACGACACTTTAAAATATTGTAAATTTATCTCTTATGTATAAATTTATCCTTTCTTTTTTTTTTTTTTTTTTACTTTTTTGTTATAATCCTTTAACGAAGCATTTCGTTAACACTGTCTACACGATTACTTCAGTGTTACTTCTCATCTATATAACACACTGACAACTGTCTCTGAACACCACGTTAGAAAGCACGACAGGATATTGAGACAGTCAGCTCCCAGTTTGATTCTCTCGCTTGGGCACCTTCATCAGCCACCATAGATAAGTCACTTGATTCCTTCTGCGAGCGTTCTCGACGTGATCGTTTTTTAACAAGCAAAATATTGAAGCATTCACTATGACAGAGAATCGGGAATGAGAAAACCGTTCTTCCTTTTCTCTCTCTCTCTCTCTCTCCTCGTTCTCTTTCTCTTTCTCTGAAATTCTCGTTCACTCAGCGCGTGTGTTTCGTCGATAACGCATCAGAACGTCATGTCTCGCAAAATAAGTAGAAGACAAGTATTTTGTACTGTTGCTCTGCAGCGCGAGAGGCAATCGCTCCCTGGTCGATTCAGGGATCAGTCAGCTTTGAGAAACATAGATCAGAAAAAAATTCGAGCGTTTGGAAAAGATATCGTTCGTCAAACGCTGGACAAAAGTGTTCTGAGACTATAGATACTGACTGGTCCCTGACGAATGTTGTTCGCGAGCTGAGGCAGGTTTTATTTTCACGTAGGTGCGCGCGGTGTGTTAGGCTTCGAATTTGAATTCCAAAGTCACAGAATCAGGCGTTGCTGTTCTTGTATTATCAGCCGCGAATTGTCGCTCTCGCTCTCGCGCTGCACGAACACTATGTTTCACATGCATAGGATGATGAAAATCGCAGGTGCGTGATCATTGTCGAAATCGGAGTAATCGTGATGTCTCGGTTTACAATCTCTGTTCGTTCGTTAATTAACTCTCAACTATCGTATCGTTGGTATACGTGATACAGACAGCTACGGCAATTTACGTTGGATTTACTATAATTCATTGAAAACTTCGAGATCTTTGTAACATTGACTGCGAAATTCAACGGTACGAGTTAAGAGTTAATATCGTTTGTTTGATTCTGTCGAGATGATTCTGTACGATGTACAAAACAGCAGTTTGTTAGATCTGAGCGTGGATTTAATCAGCGCGGTGTTACTCCGATTTGACGACGCGCCGTCAGAGAAAATCTCGAGGCTAATGCTTCCGTGCTTTGGCGACCCAGGAATTCAAGAGCCGAGGCGCATTGGGCAAACGAAAAAGCCGCTGCCAGGTGCCAGGAGCGTGAGCGTTGCTCTATCGACACCCAACGATCAGTCGGATGTCAGCAGAACATTGACGGTCATGCAATGGGCCCAGTTTATTGCCAACGATATCTCGTACACTCCGATGCGCAAGATGGGTAAGTGCGTGTATCAATGGTGTTTCATTTTCTTTTTTTTTTTTTTTTCTTTCTTTCTCTTGTGAAAGATTTGAATGAATATACGCCTTTCAATTCAATTCGTTCGTTATCGCTCGCAGTGTCATCAGGAAAGCCAATCTCGTGTTGTCGGTCGGATGGAAACCCATTGTCACCTCGGTATGTACATCCTGATTGTTCGCCGATCACGGTACCCGACAGAGATCCCGTTTATGGCCAGCATTACGTACGATGCATGAATTACGTGCGATCGTTGCCGGTTCTCAGGTCAGAATGTACATTTGGCCCTGCGGAACAGGCAAGTGGAACTTTTTTTTTAATAATTGATGTTAGAACGAGATAGAGTAATCGCGCGATTCTCGATGAACAGATGAACCAAGCGAGCCACTTTTTGGATGGTTCCGCGATCTACGGTTCCACTTTGAAGAAATCTCGCGAACTACGCGAGTTCGATGGCGGCCGGTTACGCGTTCACAAGGACAACAAGCACGAGTTCTTACCGATCGGAGGGACTGAATGCAAGGATGGCTGTTATGATTCCGGTAATTATTCACACACTTTGTAGCTGATCTGCGACGAGAGATTTGTATAATTAGTTGATTGATCGATTTCGACCTCGAGAAAAAACATACTTCTTGAGGAAAGTCCAAGAAAATATGTACTGTATAATATAATAACAAATACTGTACTTGTAAAATACCACAATGCGATATTATACAATGTTGTGCAATATATATACAATATTCACTGCACGATATGTACTATATATAATACTGCAATACAATATAATTTTCACTTCGTTTGAAGTTTTTACAGTATATATAGAATATTATATGGTATACAATATTATATAATATAGTATAGATAATATGATACAGTACAGATATTATAGAATATTATATAATATATAATATACATATATGATATTCATTGTACGATATTTACTTTCTTAAAATTTGTACTGTATCATATGTAATATACAATATTGCAATATAATATTTACTTCCTTGAAATTGGTACTGTATAAAGTATAAAATATTGCATGATTCTATATAATACATACGATATTGTACAATATTCACTGTACAAATATAATATTCACTTTCTTGAAGTTTGTACATAACATATATTACAATATATATTATATTATACAATAAACAATATTGCATAGCATATGATATATGATATTCATTGTACAATATTGCATAGCACATGATATTCATTGTACAATATTGCATAGCATATGATATTCATTGTACAATATTATATATCACTTCTTTTATTTATAGGTGATTATCGCGTAAATACGCACCCCCAATTGGCTGTGATGCACACTATCTGGCACCGTGAACACAACAGAATCGCCAACAAGCTTGCCGAACTGAATCCCAACTGGTCGGACGAGACACTGTATCAGGAAGCCAGGCGTATAGTAATTGCTGAAATTCAGCATATTACGTACAAAGAATGGCTGCCGATATTGCTTGGCAAGAAGTACGCTCGGGCTGTTGGTCTTGTTGTTGAAAGTAGCTACAATCGTAACTACAACTCCGAGGATGATCCAGCAGTTAGCAACGAGGTCGCTACAGCGGCATTGCGTTTCGTGATTTCCTTGATGCAAGGAAAGATCAGGTCAGTCGACGTTGCATTTCAAAATCAATATTTTGCAACGAGTTGAATCTGTAGAGTTGCTACAAATGACTGAAATAATAAGAAATATGATAGCTTTAATAATTTTAAAGATTAATACTTCAATCTCTCATGTGGTTGTCTCATTTTGATGTTACAGCTTAACAGATAATAAACGCCAGAACAATAAAACAGTTACATTGGCGGAATATTTCTTCAAGCCAACGATAATCGAGTCGGATGAAGTGTTCGACGATTTATTGCGTGGCATGGCTACTCAGAGCAGCCAGAAGATGGATATTAATATAGTCGAAGACGTAAGTGTTACAATGTTTCTCTAATTTTCTTCTTTCTTAAATTGTATCCTCTGAGAACTTGTTTGCAATTGTTATAATTAATCCTCTATAGCCCAAATTTTTATCTGCAAAAGAAAGTGATTATTAATTAACTGCAACTATTTGTTTCAATTGAAAATCTGCGAAAATTAATAATTTGATTTAGATCAATTTAGAAAATAATAAATAATTCACTGTATCGACGTAATATAATAAAGAAGCAATAAGTATTTTCAAATGTTATAGAGAGCTGACATTTTTCAAGAGTAAAACAAAATTACAATAATGAATTCGTTGAAGCATTAATCTCAAAATGAGTATAAATAAGAATAAACTGTCCAAAGAAGAAAATTAATACTAACAATAAACAAAACAGAGTCGATAAGAAAAAATTATTCGTATTTTACAGATAACAAGCAAGTTGTTTGCTTCAAATGAAGAGAGCCTAGGTTTAGATGCCATCAGTTTAGATATTCAGCGTGGTCGTGATCACGGTTTGCCGGGATATAATCATTACCGCAAATATTGCGGTCTTCCATCTGCGAAGAGCTTCGATGATTTCCTAGATTACATTCCAATGGAGGTAAACATTCAAGTGTTAATAAATTTTTCACATTCGGAATCTATTTCCTACCTTAATGGGATATAGTAGAAATTGTTTCAATGCGATAGTATCTTACGAAAGAGGAAAAGAAATGAAAGTTCGAAACTTGGTATATATTTGATATTTTCATATTAATATAACAGAAATTTTAAGTTTAATTTTAATAAACTTGTAATGAACATTTGATAGGAAGGAAAAAGAAAAGAATGTTCGAAACTTGACTTATATTTGTCCCAATGAAATTTGATAGTAAGAATTATTGCTTCAATTTCTTAAACATTTGTTATTTATTTTGTCAACAGATGATAAAGAAATTGCGTACAGTTTACGCCCATCCAGATGACGTTGATCTCATTATTGGTGGTATGGCTGAACGGCCAGCAGAAGATGGATTATTGGGTCCAACTTTCCGTTGTTTGATCTTTGAACAATTTTCGAGAACTCGCCGCACCGACAGATTTTTCTATGATTCTGCGTATCAACCACATCCTTTCACCCCTAGTAAGAAACAATTTTTCTCAAATTAATTCGTTAATCCTCAGCACTGGCTCATCTTGATTTAATAATATGAAGTAATATAACACAGTTTAGTAGATGATAGTATCTAAAAGCTAATTTCAAAATAGATAATGAAAACTTTGATTGAGTACACTGCTGTTTTAAATTAATTATGTTTGATTATAAAGGGCAAAGTCGAGCGTGTTGTAATTTTACATTACAGAACAATTAGCGGAAATTCGCAATGTAACGCTAGCGAGAGTATTTTGCGCCAATGGTAACCACATTACAGAAATGCAACCAAATGTATTCCTTCGACCACAATTAGGGTAAGTTAATATTTTATCTAGTCATTTTGTTACAATAATCCATGTTTAGAATTAGAAAAAGAATAAAAATATGAATTTGTTAAATTCTAGAATAGTCTTTCTTTTTAGTTCTCGATTGCAATGTTTCATATGTTTATAATGTAAAATTGTTAAGAACCTTAACTTATGGTGATTATAGTGATTATATATCACATAAAGTCAATAACTTTTACATGTAAAAAATATTCAGTATATTTCAGTTCAATATGTATGAAATACCTCAATTTCATTTTTCCTTATTTAAATTTGATTGATGGAAAATTATAAAGCCAACCAGTTTTAAATGAAACAGGCTGTGCCAAAATTATAAAAGCTATTGAAAGTAGTTATATAAGTTATATTTACTAAAAATTGTAAAGAAAATGTACAAGATAATATTGAGTGGTTCATTATTATTTTTTGTTATTACTGTTACTTGTCACTTTCAATTAATTGATTAGTTATTAAAATAGATTGCCATCCACTGATATAGAATTTTGCTTATACAACGATCTCTGAGTGCAATCATCATAAATATATTTGTCTATTTTTTATCAGAAATGAGTTGAGGTCCTGCACGATGTTCGAAGCGATTCCGAGCGTGGATTTATTCGCCTGGGCAGAAAGGGCCAAGGCTTATCGTTGAACTTCCCCTCTTAATTGGCTGGTCACATTGCCGCATCGGTTCGCCTGGGTCGCGGGACGGGCGTAATTTACAAACCACAAGACCACGATAAGATATAGTATAATCGCGAAAAGAAAGAAAGAAAGAAAGAAAGAAATAGCGATTGACTCCTACCGAATCTCGTCGCAATCTTATCAACACGCTCGAGATCAGGGAAAGAAGAAAAAAAAAAAAAAAAGGAACGAGAGACGGAGAATTTTCACTCAAGAGAAGAACGACGAATAACGGGCACGATGAAGGGAAACGAGACAGTTTAGTAGTACATGCACGCTACACGAAAAATTCATTGAACAATAACGTAATAAAAAGCAAGGTGCATCCAATACACGTGACTAGTCGATTAAAGCGAAACTACGCTATGGGGCTGTGCTACAGTACGTGAACTCAGTCGAGAGGAGGGAAGAACAGAGGGATGAGTGTATCGTTTAATAAAAAGAGGGGGGAAGAACATAATTAGCCAGACGGTTTTGATCGGAGTGGCGCTTTTAGAATAACTTGCGGAACAATGCGCGGCCGACTCGTCTAATCTTTACATGAGAGTGCATGTGGAAAGCTAGAAGTCGTACGCTAATTCTTGTTAATCCTACGCTTAGAGAGTATATTTGTTTCTTAGTTCAACCGGTCATGTTGCTCGATTTTTATTCGTTTTCAGATATTCATTGCAATTTGTTCCTCCATTCGCATTGTCTGTTCAAAGATTGAAGAGAGATTGTTGTAACAAGGAGGTAGTTTCACTTTTAATTTTAATAAACCAAAACAAAAAGGCGATAAAAGATCTTGATGAAATAGACGTTTTGATGAAATAGAGCTATGTAAGAAAAGAATACGTGAAAAGTGCAGCTGCCTCTTTGAAAAGGGAGGAGTTTGGTTTTTACTTGTTAGGTATACATTTCTCTTTCATATTTTCACAAAGGTATACGTTACCTAAGTTATTAAGATCGTACTTTATTCTTATGAATCAGAGCAGCGTGACGTCTTGAATGCTGTGTTATATATACAGGTGAATGTGTGAGCGAGAGTCTTCGTGTTTATTGAATTCTTATCCTTTTTTTTTCTCTCTTTTAAAATGATCTGGCGTTTTAAATGATCTAAGCGGAGTAATCGCAGAATATTCAAAGTCTGAGCGTATACTTGAAGAACGCACTTTTGTGTGTAAAGTAATTATACTACTTTTATTTTAAGGTTCATCGCCAGAGCTAAAAACAATCTTTCAATACAATTGCTGCATGAAACTGTTGGAAAATTTTATCAAAGATATTGTGATAATTGTGATATCGAGGACAATTCAGTTATTTAGAAATTTTGAATTGTACTTTTGTTAAATTAATTCGTACTAACTAATCAATCGAAAGCAAAATAATTTCTACATTGGGTACGTTCTTGGGGGGAAAGTTTTATGTTATCCAACAAAAGGAAGTTATTTCATTTCTCGAATATTGTATTATACCAAGTTTAGCTATACGTACATTTTAAATTAACGACAAATAAATCGAAAGTACACTATGAGACCACAGTATAATGTGATAGAGTAACACGATGGAATATTGAAAGAACAACGTTAAAATGGCTCGAATAAAATTAAGTGAAACGCGTTAATAATTTTTAAATTGAATAATAACTTTTCATTAAAGCAATGCATTCAACTACGTGGGAAGAAAGAAAATAAGGTATGGCAAGAGTTTAATCAGATGAATCGGAAGTCGAAAAGATTTGAAAAAGATTGAGCAATAAGTTGTGGAAGAATAATCGATATTATAACAGACGAATATTGCACTATTTTTATGTATTGGATGAAGAAGTGAGTTTACGATAAGATCAAAGTATTGTGGAACAGATATGGTGCTCAGAAGCCAAGCAGGTTTGAGCAACTCTATGAATTGAAACGTAAAGGAAAATTACGAACGTTATTTTTGTAAATGTACCTTCAAATTTATAATTGCACATCCACTACTCCATTTAATGAGTAAAAACAAGTCTTTCGTTTCTTAAGGTGTTAAATATTGTCTAAATCACCTAAATATTATATACATTTGCTTGTCTAAATTTATGAAATTGAGAAGTCGACCAATTTGGTTTCTGAGCAGTTCAAATGCAAACAGAGAATACGAGATCATTCTGTAATTATAATAAAGAATAGCAATACATTTGGTGCACAATATTTTTCTAATTAGCAGGAAATCCTTGCTCATATCTTGAAATAAGATTTGTATTGATACTTTTAAGGAAATATATCTGGTAATCAAACTTTCTAGTTAATGTAGTGTTATTATATATAGTGTGATATAGTAGTTGATCTTTAATTACGCATCCCGTTTATTATAATCACACTGGTCTCAATTTTGCAGTTTTCAATTTTTGTATGAACGTAATTAAAATAGAAACTTATTTCCAATATTGGATTTCGTAACAAGCTGTACTTTGGACACTTTATTTATGCCTGTATGCTTGTTTTGTACATTCTCTCTGCTTAATCTAATTACTATGAACAGTTGGAATTGCTCTAGAATTCTTCATTCAAGCCGACACACCGAGAACTGTTGAATATCGATTGTTGCGTGGAAAGATTACACGTTAATACAGCTTTCTTTTAAATACTCTCAACCAATTAACTGCCATTTCAAATCACTCGCGTTCTTTTTCGTTCGCAGACATCGTCACTTCTTTATTTATTGCCACGTTTTTGCCAAAATGAAAATTTGAAAAAGGGAAACTCTGCTCAGCGTTTACGTTTGGTTTGCACGACTGTAGAACAACTGAAGTATGTTTCTTTTTCTTTTTCCTTTTAGGAGTATATGGAGTATGACTGATTAGTTTTTAAGAAGAGAGTAATATTGTTGAACGTTTTGTACGTAATTAGGATTAATTGTACTTAAGATGTCCGATACGATTGAAAGCTTCGATCGAAAGTGATTGAAAGTGAGATTAATCGTATCGCGAAGTTAGAAAATAAAGGTCTTGATCCTGATGTCGGTATTTTTTATTTTTATTTCATTACTACTCGCAATTTTCCCACGTGTCTTTTTCTATTATTCTTGCATTTGCAGGGTACAATGAGTTATTTGGGAATGATTTGTTTCATTTGGATCAAATAAATTAATATATATACATATTATAATAATTATTATAATTATTATATAATTATTAATATATATATATATACTATAATATAATATAATAACTATTTATATGTTAATTAATTAATTATATATATAATTAAGTAACATAAATGGTTATTTAAAATTTTTATTTTTTATCCTATTTAAATTAAATTTACCCAATTTATTTCAATCGTTGTCATAGAACATGTGCCAACTTGTGGTTGAACGTAATCACAAAAACCGAATTTTTCATATTGACCAAGAATATACAAGTGATTTATAATTAATTCATTCATTTACGTAAATGGTAAATTATTCCTTTACAACAAGAAGGCTTGCAGAAAAGTATAAACTATAGAACAAGATTAAAATATAACTACTAGAGGAAGATTAAAAGTTCACAACAGGAGAAAATAGTAAAAATAAACAAAATTATGTCACGCGAAGAATACAACTAAACCAATAACTAATCATGAGAGATTGTCGATATTTTGAATTGTTATAACGTCGTGAAGAAGAATGGCATACTAAAAATATCAGACAGACATAAATAGACATACAATAATATCAGACAGACATAATAGACATACATTTGGCATACTAAAAATATCAGACAGACATAAATAGACATAAATTGAGATGTTTAAACAACTTACTAGTATTTTAAAAAGAATGTATCAAAAGGTATATGTTTAAAGACAAACGTGTTCTTAATTTGTTGCATGCTTCTTATTTTTTAAATTATATTCTTTAATATAATTTAATAACTCTTTAATTTTGGTGAACACTCAAACGACTGAAAACCATATTGAATTTCACAAAATTGACGATTGCTGGAGGCAAGAAGCTTGCAAGATTGATTCTGTTCCTTCAATTTCTCTTTAAATCGATCATCATTATTTACGTTCAATCGTTAAAACGAAGATGTCGACTTCTCCATCGAAAAGAAGTAAAGAGAACTCGTCAAGTGGCGGTGCTGTATTTTCTCATCAGTTGACAAGGGAACAATGAAACGAGTCTTATCACGTGTATTAAATAACGAACGTATGAATTTTACATCGGGCATTTTCGTTTAAATTAAATTACTCCGACGTATCGTGCCGATCTAGCTATGCAGCACGCAACGAGCATTATACTTCGAAATTTCCAATATATTATATATAAAGTAAGATTGAATTTCCACGTTTCGCAGTAACAGAAAGGATATTATGCGATCCTCCGCGGGTCTTGCCTTGTTAAAATGGAACAGTGTTATTATGATACGGCTTTTCCCTTCGCGCAACTTAATTTTCTCTTTTGTTATTGCAATCTTTCGTTTCGATCGAACTTGAGCGTTATTTGAGTCAGACTTGGGCAGTGATCAATTACAATGGAACTTCTATAATTAGCGGTGAAATTGCCTTTGCAGCAACGTGATTAAAACATTATTAAAAAAGACTGAAAATTTCCGCCGTGAAAACGTACGCGATTTTTTTCCACGATTTAGGAAACATAGTTGCATTAACTCATACCCAGTTTTGTGAAACGAAGGAGGGCTTTTGTGGAACTATTGTATCAAAAAAGAATTTGTTTTAACTACAAGTTAACTCGTTATTTAAGGCGATCTTTTTATTAATGCCAGATATAAGAAATAATAATATTTTTCAGCCGTGAAAAATTCCGTGAGAAATAGGTTTACATCATTTGCATTCGTTTTATTTGAAAGAAGTTTTATTTAGTTCTTCGTGTAACGCGGTCCTACTGTGCTCTGTACTCTGTTTTTTGTAATTATATTACTAGCAATCGTAACCATTAGTCGATTAATTATTGTTGAAATAAATCAACAGTCTTGATTGAACTTGTAATCATCAATCGACAATTTTTTAATTCATCGACCAATTAATTTCTATTTTTTTGTATTTTTAAATTTCATCGACATCGTAGTTATTAGCGATTAGATACTTATATCGTAGTATACTATGTAGCGTAGATCTAACAAAGTACTGGAGTGTTCTCTTCAGATGGTTTTGAGAAGTCAATTCAGTGATGGGATTAATCTCGATGGAATCTTCTCTATCATTCAAAATTTGTTCATTCATATAGAACGTGTTGAGCTGTGACAGATTTTTGACATTTATTGCAGAAGGGAGATCTCCTCGATTAGATATTCATTAGGTATACATCCTGCCCTTATAATCGAATATAATCCTTTTCTTTTTTGGTTAATCCGCTAAAAGCGGAATTTCTTTGTTTCAGTTTACAAATTTAGTTACTACTTTTCGTTCGATCTAACGTTGTCCATTCATCCTTAATGTTTGCATAGTATATAAGTTCATATATAAGTATACAGTATATAAGTAAATATCATATTATTTATAATATATTTACAATATAATAATTATATAGTATATACGAGACAGGGATCTGTGACTTGCTTAGTGATAGTAATTTGTATTCTATCGCCATCTGTAATATGTTATTTCTTCAAACGTGTGCTATTCAATATACTCTGTCCGAGAACCTTGATTTATAGCCTGATTTACTGCACCGGGTCGGGGACTTTATTTTTGAAGAAAAATCCAGCAAGAGGACTAAAACTTTGTTCATTAGAACTGGAGGATTGGTTTATCCGAAGATTATATCATAGATCACCAATAGAAGTTCTCGAAAGTATTTAAACAAAACGTGTTTTGCACGGAGCTGACAAATGATGTCAACGATTTGCCTTCATCTTGAAGTTCAAAAGCTTTCAAAACTGATGGAAAGGTAAACGAGGGAGTGTTTTCTCATTTTTCATTGGCTCATTATGAATCACTGTTCGTCTGACACTAGTATATAAAATAAAATAATATAAAATAATATAAAACAATATAAAATAAATAAAATATATAGATAAAATAATATAAAATAAATAAAATATATAGATAAAATAATATAAAATAAATAAAATATATAGATAAAATAATATAAAATAAATAAAATATATAGATAAAATAATATAAAATAAATAAAATATATAGATAAAATAATATAAAATAAATAAAATATATAGATAAAATAATATAAAATAAATAAAATATATAAATAAAATAATATAAAATAAAAAAAAGAGATAAAATAAAATAAAATATATAAAATCACGTTTTGTGTATCTTCATAAACCAGTTCAATAATTAACGCCTGAACAATAATTAATCTAATAATTATTACTGTTTGAGTAGTTTGAGTAGCAGACTAGACTATTCGAGAGAATATCTATGCATATTCTTTGCTGAGGAATAGTATCAATTATATAATAAATAATTTTGTTAAAGTTTATAAAAATGGTATGAGAACGTGTTTATACAATAACGAAGAATTTTGATCATTCGACAAGTTTATCACCAAAATCATACGGAAGATTTTATAATGACTCGTTTAGTAAAAATTAAGAAAATTAGATATTTCAACATGTTTCGGAGATCGTCGTGAAACAGTTGAATTTTGTTTAATGTAAGATTCAGTTTTCAATCGTAGAAAAATATAAAATTAAAAATTTTTATTCAATTCCACTTACTAGAAATTCTTGCATAAATTTAGGATTATACAGATGAGACTTTCAATGACAGTCGATGAAAAGTTTGTGGAATATTTTTTGCAAATAATAAATTTTGTTCGATGTAAGGTAGAGAAAAATATAAAATTAAGAATTTTTATTAAATTCTATTTACTAGAAATTTTTGCATAAATTTAGAATTATACAGATGCGACTTTCAATGACAGTCGATGGGAAGTTTGTGGAATATTGTTTGCAAATAATAATTGTTGTTCGATGTAAGGTTCAGTTTTCAATCGTAGAGAAAAATATAAAATTAAGAATTTTTATTAAATTCTATTTACTAGAAATTCTTGCATAAATTTAGAATTACACAGATGAAACTTTCAATGACAGCCGATGGAAAATTCCTTGAATATTTCTTGCGAATAATAAATTTCGCAGTTTCTACGAAATATACGCAATGTTCTCGACGAACAGAAATAAAGCTACTCGTACGATCATAATCAAAAGCGCGGGAGAATAATAAGGATAATAACATTTTATTCCCTTAGTTCAAATATCCTATAAATCCGCGTTTAATGGAAAATCCGGTTGCTAGGGGAAAAAAAGAAATGAGAATAAAGATAGAGGCAGTGAGTCAAGTTTTGCGAAATTGTCGTAAATGTGTTAATCATTGGGATAATACGAACGATACAAAACAAACAAAAAATCCTCGTAGATCGGGAGCTTTTGTCAGCGTGGGGTACCTGCCGATCAGCAGCAATCGTTTTCCTGCACTTTCTCCTACCATTTATAAAGTTCGGATCATATCTCGTGCCCGTTCAGTCGTCCTGCCAACACATGTTTGGAATATCGCCCCGAGAATTGGCAGGAACCGCGTGTGAAGTGATCGCTCGTTGAAAAATCGTGCCGATCTCGTGCGTCGACCGGGATTTTTCATTGGATCTCTGGACAGTTCGACGAAAAAAATATTTTTGGTGGGTCTTTATTTTCTGCCAGTCGACGATCGAATCGCGCGAGTGTTTCGTGCTTGATTCTCGATTTTACTGCAACTGTCTCTTTTTTTTCTCTCTTTTTTTTTTTTCATGGAAGAAAATACTAAACGATGGATAAAGTTAAATAACGCTCTTCGTGGACATGCAATTTTTAACGCCAATTTTCCAACTCTGCAATCTTGCTTTAAATTTGAGTGAAAATTAAGAAAATTTAGATACTTCAGCATGTTTTGGAAATCGTCGTGAAACAATTTGATTTTGTTTAATGTTCAGTTCTAGGTTCAGTTTTCAATCGTGAAAAAACATAAAATTAAGAATTTTTGTTAAATTATATTTATTGGAAATTCTTACATAAATTTAAAATGAAATAACGAAGGATAGTGTTTGATAGATTTGTTATTATTGTTTATCTTTTCGATCAATTGATCGACTCTCACTCCGATAAACTCATCTAATCTGTACACTGTGTTCAACAAGTGTCAGTCGTCGTGTGGATGAAGGTATTTTTTGCTATTTGAATTAAATATTTAGTGAAAACTGAGGAGTATTGGTAAATTTAATACGTTGCAGACTATTTTGAGAGCATAAAACTAACTAGAAAGAGTTCGATTAATTCTCCATGTTTGAGCACAAATACCATACGAAATCATATTAATTTACGCGAGGCAAATATTAAATTGTATTTAAATTTACTTTGTGGCCTTTGTTCCTTTTGAAAGAGATTAATAATGTCAGTAAATCTCAGTTGATGATAAAGCTTTCGATTAATTAATTTTGCATATTTTAAACATGTGGAATATAATAATAATAATAATAATATAATAATAATATAATAATAATATAATAATAATAATAATAATAATATAATAATAATAATATATTCGAAGAGAATATATAATCTCTTATATAATAGATTATATTTATTATATCTATTATATAATACACATATATATAATCTAAATATAAACATAATATATTAATAAATGAACATAATCTGTATGAATATATTCTGAACAAATAAACGTGAAATATATAATACAGTCTTGTTGTAAAAGAATTTGCATTGAAACTGATTCCAGAGAATGGCGCTAAGATAGGAATTAATTGTAGTTGATTCAATTCGCTAAATTGCAATATCAATTTCGACAGTTTCGAGTTTCTAAAATTCCAAACGTGCGCTACTGTTCGTAAAGCGTGATTAATGACGTTTTAAACGGAACTGTAATAATTTTTATATCGTGCTCGATGCTTGAATGTTAATTAATAATTCATATAATTCGTGCGTGCTACGATCCGTTCCGGTTTCCCATAATTACCGACGATTTGTTGCACGTCTACTTTCGTTACATCGTTCGATTTCATCGCGAAGGGAAACGCATTACATATAATAGTATATTAATGCGGATTAATATACTATTTAAATTACTAATAGATTATATTATTATATATTAAATTATATAATTATTATTATTATATATATAATTATATTATTATTATAATTATATATTAATATTATTATTATATAATATTATAATATAATAATATTAATATATACAATATTATACAATATATTATTATATACTAATATATATTATATAATATATTAATTATAATATACTAATATACTAATAGATTACCAACTATTTAAATAATTAATATTATAAAAGTATAAAAATTGTTATGTATTAGATAATTAGTTATGGCTCGTCGCGATTTTTTTTTCAGACATTTTCGACTGACTGTAGAAAGAAGAAAAAACGTTCACAACAGAAGTTAGTCAATTTTCAGTCATCTACGAACTGCGATATAAAAAGAAAAAGATTTTCAAAAATCATTTTTTCGAAAAAAATCTCAAGGCGACGAAATGTTCTGATAAATATTCTAGAAATTCGAAATATTCTAAAATGTTTTCAATATTTATTACAAATATTGCCTTTCATGCGTATACTTTCTAAAATTAATGTTGAAATTATCTCCTGAACTAATTGTTTTCATAGAAAATGTAATGGAATAGAATAAAACCATTTTACTTTTCTTTTCACTAAAAAAAAAAAAAAAAAAAAAATGATTATAATCCTCTTTGCATTAAACAATGTTTGCGCAGTTTTTTCATATTCTAAGAAACAATCGAGAAACACTCAAGATGATCAAGTTGCGTGGTTTTAGCCTGTGTAGTACTTCCTTCTGTGTAATATTGTATATGAATATATTTTAATACTAACTGCATACGAATAATGCTAATATTAATTCGATGATTTATACCAAACCTTGAGATTTTATTTCGTTGTTAGTTTGCAAGGGTTGACAAACGAGTAATAAACGAGAAACTTAAAAGCAAAAGATGAAGCTATAAATTTCTTTCTTCAACAACCAGCGACAATCAAATAGTTGCGAAAAATTACGATTTACCATAATGACCTTTAATCTTTGATAATTCCGAGTATACACTCGCAGGCTCACTTTAATGTTCGTTAAATAAGTAACAAGTTAGAAATGTGAGGAAAATATGCCAATGTTACGTCACTACGTCCAATTCCAGTCATCAATTTCTCTCTGTCAGGAAAAGAAGAATACAATTATAAAATGATAAATATCGTGCAATATTAATGTAATATATTATTGTGTTATATACAATTAATATAACATATTGTATAATATTATCAATTCTGTTTAATATTACATACACTTATATACACTTTACTTTTATATTTAATATTATCTTCATATTATATTTTATATTTAATATTATCTTTATATTTATTCGCTCTTATTATTTAATATTATATACACTTATATACGCTATTTATATTTAATATTATCAACTTCTATATAAATAATAATTATTTTTAAATAATATTAACATTGAAATATAGAGTTGGAATGAAACACGAATTGGACGTTACTGTGTAATATTTGGATGTCTTTTTTTTACATTCGAACTTGTTACTTATTCAACGATTGTTAAAAACATCAAGGAATATAATAATAATAACAATAATTATTATATATAATATTTATTAACAATAATAATATATACTAATATATTATATTAAATAATAATTATTGCTATATATTATTATTTATTATATAATAATATATTATAATAGAATATATTTATTATTATTATATTATATATATTTATAATATATTTATTATATTATAAATTTAATATATTATCATTATTATTATCATTTATTGTATTATTAAATTTGCTATTATTACTACTTAACGTTATTCAGAAGATACCAATATTATTTGTAAAAAAAGAAAATATCAAAATCATAGAACGTTCACCCTCCAATCAATGATATTTCGTTTCTCATCGAAGAGTGCCATTCTGATTCTCGACCGCAGAAAATTCACCAGATGGTTTCTCAATCTGCCGTCAGGCATATCACTTGCCTCGAAACCAGTCTCGTTCGTGTTATCGGCAAAACTCCGTCCGTAAAAATCGAAATCAATAAAGAAAAAAAAAAAAAAAAAAATAGAAAAAAAGAAACGAGCGATCTTCAATTCCACAATCGTTGTTCATTTCTTGTCAGACGGATCTGGCGCAAATAATATCTTCATTTCTTTTTTTTTTTTTCTTCATAATCGTTGGTGCGATGTTGCGAGGTGAAACTTATTATAATATTAAACGAAGAACAAGCATCCTCGAATTTCAATTCAATTCGAAATCGATTCAGCTTCAGAGAGAGTCTGAGAAAATTATCTCAGTGGTGTGTATAAAGGCGCAAGTTCGAAGCAATCAATTAACGATAAAAACAACCTGTAATTAGCCGTTTCATTGTTCGACAAGGTGTTGAACGATTTCATCCGCTTTTAACAGGCGAAACAGCTGGATGTTTCCGCGAGCTCGCTGGAAGGGAGATGTAATTGCAGCTTGCAGTGACAAGTAATTACATAGTTGCATGGTTTGGGCACAAACAAGCCGTGAAATCGGATCCTTTAATTAAGTTTTCAATTAATAATTGACAGCCACTGGAATATTGCTGAGCGAGTAACACGCGTAAAAATGTTCGGACGAGTAGATTGGTATTTTTGGGAAGTTATTAAAATTGAAAAATTTGATTATCGACAGATGTGCAAAATTGAATCAATGTCAGTTTCAGTGCACGATATTAAAGAATTGTTTACATTGGTTCTGATTACCCAAAATATTTCTATTCATGTTTATTGTTTGCTTGACTTGTCTAGTTTTTTAACTACTTGTCGGTGGATTATTATAAAATTGTAATAATTTAGAGTTGCATTATTTGATTTTAGAATTTCTTCATTGATTGAACTTTACTAACGTTTTTAATGTATCATATTTATTATCATAACAATACAATTAATATTATATGTTAATTAATTAAATTACATACCGATATGTAAATTGTTATTTAACTAGCATTAATGGGTAAATGTAAAAATTTATGTTACTTTAGGCAAAAAGTTAAAGAAAAAAAATTTAAAAAGTTACGTTACTTAATTTAACTGATTTTTATTAATATGTTACATATATATATATATAAAAATTATGTTAATATGTTATATATATATAATATATTAAATTTATATATAATTATGATATATTAAATATATAATTATAATATATTAAATTTATATATAAATTAATATGTTATATATATAATATATTAAATTAATATATATATATATAACATATTAATAGAAATCAGTAAACTTAAGTAACGTAACTTTTTACATTTTTTTCTTTAACTATATAATATAACTCTCTCTCTCTCTATATATATATATATATTAATATTAATATTATATATATAATAATATTATATATTAATTACATGCTAATTGGTAAAATTAATATATTAATTAATATATAATGTACAATATAATATATAATAATATATTAATACATAATATGACGATAAATTTTATTAATCATTGTATAATTTCCATCATGGATGACATAAAATCAAATGCTCTAAATCTTAATAAACAAACACGCAATACGCTTA